GGATCCCCGCTGCACATATTGCAGAGGCTGGAAGGTGGCCCAGGACCCATAGGAAGGACAGACAAAGGAAGGTGTTCTGTGTGTAGGCTGTGGGTGTCTTAATCCTTGCTTATGTCACTTTGTTCCTAACTAGTGTTGCACAAGTCAAGAATTAAAACAAACTTTCAAGCAGAGTCACCTTTTGGAGGGTTTTTCCTTCTGTGGATGAGCAGAATATTCAGAAGTGTGTCTGCAAGTAGTGGGAGCTCTGCATTGAGCACAGAAAATGCTATAAAATATAAATGCTAAAAAAGCTATAAAAATGCTACCCAAATGTACAATAGTGGGAAAACAAAATGGGTTTGTTACATTCATTTAGCAATTTGATCTTGAATTATGCTGTGTCTTATTTTTCTTTTTAATAATATATAATGCTACCTGTGCACTTGAGAGAGAACCTTTTTATCAGCTGTTAAATTTAGAATATACCATTTCAGATCAGCTGAATTTAGATCTTAAAGCCACAGAAGAGCCCATGGAGTTCTGGCTTCCATGAATTTGAATGATGCAAAGAGTATATTCATATTTCATATTTAATTGGAATTGCAGGTTAAATAAGAAACATAAACCAGAAAAGTACATGGTGATTGATGAAGAGATTGATATCACCCTTGTTTGAAAAGAATTTGGGGGGTGTAACTACAGCTGGTGTGTGTGAGAGAAGCTCACATCAGAATTACAATAGCAAATCCTGTCAGGCTTTACATCTCATTGTGCAGCATTGCAGCATCTCTGGGGTAGGGACTTTAGGAACTTGCTCAGAAGTACAAAAAAATTACATAATATGTGTCTTAATGCAAATTGTTGTTCTGTGGGGAGTTTTGGGTGAGAACCTAGTTTTAGACGTCATTATAATTAACAAGGCACTCATTTGGGGGTTTTATTGTTCAGCCATAAAATGTAACCCAAAATTAGGAGGGAAAACGTGGTATTTCACAGATGGTTTTTTCTGTTTTGCAAAGGATATAGAGGAAAAAACCCATGTGTTAACTTACTACTGAAATCTGGATTAAGGAATGAAAAAAAATTAATAAAGACTTTGAATATCTGAGCAAATTAAACCCCTCAAGGCAGGGAAGAGAAGCAAACATTCATTGCAAACATGACTGTCTATGAAAAACTCCTTGATTTTTCTTCCCATCTCTGAAATTACGTGGTATTCCTTATAAGTAACCCCATCTGAGATACGGGGTTGTGTCTCTTAATGTGGAATATGCTAAAAAAAAAGAAAACCCAGTCCTTTTCTCCTCCTGACTAATATGGTATCTTCTAATGTTCTCATCAAGCAATTGCTGGATTTATTTTTTTTTTCCGAAACAAAATTGTACCGACTGCAAAAGTTTTTGTCTCTTGAAAAGATTGAAGAAATCTTTCCAAATGTAGCCTTGTCCTGAATTATGGATTCCCCATTAAGTTTTGTGCTGGTGATAAAATAATTATAACTATTTCCATTTCCTGGCTGTGTTTGGGAAGAGGCATATCATAGTCACAGAAGAGGGAGTTTTGAATGATAGTCCATGAAATCTGGGAAGAGAAACAGGCTCTATCTACAGGGACCTGTGCACTGGCCTGTGAATGGATGCAGGTGAGTTCCCTGCCATAGGCTGGAGCCACTTTAGGGAAGAGCATCCATGAGTTCTCCACAAAGGCAAGATGCTGTCCCATGGCTTCAGCGCAAGGTCCTGCTTTTCCAGCTCTCTCTACTGTTGACAGCTGACTCTGGAGACATGTGCAACCTATAAATGTCTGTCTCATGTTGAACAACTCTGGGTAGACTGTAAATCTTGTAAAGTAGATGTTCTCCATCCAGCTTTGGTAGGTGCTGTCACAGCACGTGTGACAGGCCCCATGAAATACTTCGTTTCTGTAGAAAAGGTGGTCAAAAAACCCCGTAAAAAAAATGGTATCCTATAGGAAAAAATTCCTCACAGCTTGAAGGAAAAGGAGATTTTCTTAGAAATGAGATCATAAAATTATTAAGGTTGGAAAAGACCTCTAAGATCATCGAGTCCTACCACTTCACAGAATCACAGAACCACTTCCAAGATGCTTTGGGGTGTCTCAGTACTAGATTTATTTCTGGACCACATATCTGCAGTGGATTAAGCTGCAAATATTTATGGGGGATAAAAGTGTTGATGCAACAACTCCCAGCTGAGGAGTCACGTACTGTCTTTCTGGAAATCTGGGAAATCATGTCAAGTCCCTGGGCAAGGAGTTTCTTAGTCACAAGAGAACAGCTCTGAGCACATGTACCAGCTCCCAGGAGCACACGACACAGATTTTGGCAGGTCTGTGGGTAGTTGTTGCAGAACACTGAGTGTGGTGTAAATTCACTTTGACAGATTTCCCAATAGTTTATCTGAGTGAGCATGGCTGTGGCTTTCACTCTCTGGGCTTTTCCATGCAGCTCTGAAATCTGTTTGGTGACCTGGATAACATAGACAGAGCTTCTGCTTTCAGACTGGGAGGGGATTTAATGTGATGGAATATCAATGGGCATTGCAGGACCCTCTGGATGGGAGCTGATGGAAAATAAATTCAGACATTAAATATTATGCACACTGTTAATACAGAGAAAAAATATCTTAAAGTTCCCAAACTTAATTCATCTAATTAGCAACAGTTTGGTGGGTACTGGCACCCACAGTGTGTGTTAACAGTGAAATCACAGCTGACTGTGTTTATAGACAGAGACATCCCATATTTGTTCACACCTGGCTCTGTGGCCAAAATCAAACCCCTCAATTTTATCTTCTCCTTTTCAGGTAACTGCTGCATTTACAAGCCTGAATACAGGGCTGTGGGAAGGGGTTTTTTTGTACTTTCAGCCAGCTGTGGAGTAACTTGATATTTTCACATGTCTATAAAAACCACATATGTGGAAAATTGCGCAAACTATTGCATATTTTATTTTCAGTACCTCAAGTACTAAACATGATTTAGGTAAGACTCCACACATATACAATAGAACATGAACACATCATTGGCGTGGACACTCTCAACTTTTATTTAGAGCAAGATAAAGAGTTACAAAATGCAATGTGACAGCAGAGTAGAAATTGTTCCTCCCATTCTTTTATCACTGTCTTCTGATGAATACCAACAGTCCCATTTCTCTTTTACTTTGGGTGGTTCAACCATTGCCATACGCCAGGAACTTCTACACAGCTGTTTTGGGCTTGACTTATTAATTCACAAGATGCTACATGATTTAAAGAATTAGAATTGCATAAGTTAGGATTCTGTGGCAGTCAGAAAACTGCTCGCTCCATGCAGGGCTAAGGGCAAGGCAGGTGTCTGCTCTGTGGAATTTCAGCTGTCTCTATCCATCTGCTTTTGGGCTGTTATTAATTCACTGGGGAACACAAAAACCAAGACTTCATATTTGTCACTGTGTTTGCAGTCTGAGACTGGCACAGAGTGAAAAACTGAGAAGCTTCATTGTCTCTTACAGCACGAATATCCTGTGAGCTCCATTCCAGAGTCACTCAGGGACAAACTCTTGAAAATAAAGTTATTTTACATAAATCAAATGGTAGTTTTCACCTCATGAGAGGGATATCAGATCATCTCTGCTTCAATCAGCTCTTGCCCAGGCCTCCTCCTTGCCATCTGCTTGGGAGACAGGGAAAACAACTCATCCTGCTGAAGTGCCTTTGGCTTTCCGAACTTTCTTTATCTTTGTCTTTCTTTATCTTTCTGTCCTGCCTGAGGTCTGCAACTTCAGCTGAGTGTTCTCAGTCCTTCTCAGAACTGGGAGCTCACACAATTCCCTCCTTTCTCTGGATCACTGTGTGAATTGTCTGTGAAACTCACTGTCACAAGAGGTAGTTGAGGCCTGGAACTGGTCAGATTTCAGGCAAGGATTGGGCGTCATTGTAGGCAATATTTGGGGTTACAGACATAATAAATTCATAAGTGCAAATAAACAGGGGGAAAACTCATGATTTTTGATTTAAGTCAAATCTGTGGGAACAGACTGTACCATATCAGCCTGCTGCTTGTACCTTCCTCAAAAGCACTCAGGGCTCATAATTTTGGACTAAAAAAATCCAACCAGGATAAAAAGAATCCTAAATCTCAAGTAGGGCAGTATTTCCTATATGCGGGCTTAGTTTTTTCTGGGTCACGGGCAAAATTGATGTGGGTGCATAGGAAGCTTGGCATTGCCTTCTTCTCTCTGCTGTTTGTTACAGGTGAGAACTCTTCACCTCTGTACTCATAGCAGATCTCAACATCAGAGATGCTCAGATTTTGTCTTTTCAGGAGCAATGTTTAAGTGAGGTTAATTATGTCAACGTTGCCTTTAAACATAGCTTTAGGAACTCTGAATCTACAGCCAAATTTGGTGCTAACAGTTATTATTGTTATTGTTATTACTATTACTCCTAATTCCAAAATATTCTAATGCTATAGACTTATGAATTAATTACTTGAACAATTAGATGATTGAATGAATTAAGAACATACAGGAAACTCTGTTTTCACAGCTCTATGTGAAGTATACACTGAACAAGCCAAATTAACAGGAAATAAAGGATGTTTTCCTAATTGTGTTCTTCTTTTTACTCTGAATGTTTACCATCTTTACTCCGATTTGATAGCATTTTGATTATTTTAGTTAAGAAAGACACATGAATTTACCATGCCAGGGTCAACACAGAAAATTTCAAAGATGAAGGACAACCTGAAGGTTTTGGGCAGTGATGAGGCCATTTAGAGACAACAGATAATCCTAATTTTGTCTGTTTATTCCTGTTTGTGTTCAGTAGAGCAGTCCACAACTCTCATGAGTAATCAGACCTTCTAAAGGCAACTCAGAAAGCACAAGAAGGATCAGGGCTTTTATTTATGGGTGTGTAAAGCATCTGGAAGGGGAGGGAACCTTGGAAGGGTGTGTTTGGGCAAGGAGAGCCAACCAGCCCTTGGAGCACAAGGGAGTGGCTTGGAGTGAGGCTGTATAACGGGCAGGATGGGATGGTCCACCCTCAGCCTGGACACAGAGCAAGGCTCAGCCTGGTGGATCCCGGCTCTGAGTGCACAGATGCCTCCTCAGACGGGCTCCAGCGAGAAGGGGACGAGTCCCATTCCGGCCTTCCCGCAGCCTTTCACTTGGGAAGAGGTCAGGATGCACAATGGCCGTGGGGAGAGCCAGGAGCAGTGGCTGGTCATCGACAGGAAGGTCTATGATGTCAGCAGGTTTTCCAAGAAGCACCCTGGAGGCAGCAGAGTTATCAGCCACTATGCTGGGCAAGATGCCACGGTAAGACCCAGGAGAACAGAGCAGGAAGGTGGTTCCAGTGCCAGGGCAGGAGGACATGCTGGTTGTCACTGTGCTTGGCCAAAGAGTGGGCTGAGAAAGAGGCACAATGGCTGCAGGAGACAAGGAAAACTTCCACAAATATATTTGAAAACAGATCTCCTGCAAAAATTTGTTGATTTAGTGGATTTCTCTGAAATAATTGTGTTGCTTGTTCACAGAAATAATAAATTCGAAGCAGATCTCTCTGCTGAAAGGAGATATTGAATATCTGAATAGTCAGAAATATAAGCATTAAAAACATGGCCAAGTTTCAGGCATAAGCTTGTGATGTGGGAGATTTAATTCTTGTCTCAACAAGACTTTTTGACTTGAAGGGAGCTCTTTAGCCAGTCTAATCTCTCAGGTTTCAGTTTGATATGGGATAACACTTCCCCAGTCCTGGCCCAGAATGAACCAGATCAGTTATTTTTCACATTTCACTCCTTGAATTGAATGTTTCCGTGCTTGAAACTGGGGCAGAAAAATATCTGGTGTTCTCAAAGGAAGGAAAAGAAAGGTTTGAGTCTTGTTGGCTTTCTCCTCTACCTCAGTGACTTAAGAACTTAGACCAGCCATGCCAGGCCAGTCTAGAGCTCCTGGTGCCACCTCCTGCAGGTTCTGTTACTGGACTTTTACAAAAGGATTCAAGGAATACAGAATGCATGGAATTATTTGGCCCCAAGCAATGTCCTCCCAGCTCCTGCAGTGTAAGGACCTGCATTTAGATTATTTTATTTATGGACACCCAGGGGCTTTAACCACAGTGAATTTGTCTGGGGTGAATATGTTTAAAGGATGACCTTTGATCCTGCCTGCTTTTATTATTCCAATAATTACAACCTAATTTTACTTGATCTTAAAGGTCTTTTCCAACCTGTAGCTGTGCTACATCCCTTTGAGCACAGGACCACAACTAGTAGCCAAAATTGTGGGTACAGTGTGGATTTGTGTTGCATCACAACAATATCCTTCTGTCTTGCTCTCAATTTGTATTCTGCTAATCTGTATAATTTTTTTTGCTTTTAAAATGCTGCTCTGTTCATATATTCGGAGAAAAAACACACTTTTACAGAAATGCAGGACTGGAAGGTGTCTCAAAAAATTGCTGGGGCAGGACTTTACCTAAAACCAGGATCCAGGATTTTCTTTCAAGTACTCTTGACTACTCTAGACCTCATAATTGTATATATACAGTGAGAATTTTCTTCTTCTGTGTGGATTAATTTGAAAATGTCAACAAGAACATTGCACTGATGTCAAATGTTGGGAGTTGTGTGTGTTGCAGGTGATAAATCTTAAAGTTAATCTCTCTTAAGATGATTATCAGGACCTGAGAGGAGGGAGGAGAAGCCACAGGCAGGACTGAGAGGCTTTCACTGATAAGAATCTGTGATACTGATTTTGTGAAGAGGGATTCCTGCTTGAAGGCATTGTGGCTCCTATTTCCAAGCTGCAATATAGACACATGGATTGAATCAGATTCCTGGCAGGAGGGAGGTATATAAGAATGTATGAGGGGCACAGAATTAGGATAGAGAGATTTCCCCAGTCCTCTGGGTCCGGACAGAGTTATTCAGTTGTCACTGTGACAAAGGGTCAGTGGATGTCTGTAAAAAGCTCAAATGTCCAAAAAATCACCTTGCTCTGAGTATTTCTGGACTAAAGTACTCAGAGAAAGACTGTCTCCAGTTCTCCAGCCAAAAGGCTCCAGAGCAATGTCAGACTGCAAGGAAGTCCCCTGTCCTTTTCCAGGGACTTGGTCCTGACCAGGCACATGCAGAATTTGTTTAGGTCATAATCATCCACATTGTTTCTCACACCCAAAATCAGCAAGTACCTGACTGCTCAAACACTGAGGATTTTGCCATATCTACTCTTTCTGGACCTAAATAGAGCATGGTCAGCCTTTTTATCTTACTTCTGAAAAATTCACTGAGCTAAAGAAGAGTTTTGTTTTACCTGGAATTTCACCCTTTATTCCATTGCTTGTCTTTGATTTTAAAACTGGGATTTCAAATGCTTCTTGAATGGACCCATTTGTGTCACTACTGTTACCTACTTCCCCAAAATATCATCCAGCCTGAAAACTTGCAGGGAACTGCACTCCTGCTGTGTAAGGAGCTTCAGCACATATTCCCTTTGGCCCTAGTGGTTTACAAACAGGATTTTAAAAGCCTCATCCCAAGCATGGCAAAGACACATACCATTCCCTGATGTGTTCTCCCACACCTGGGTCCCATTCATAGGGAAGGGCTGCTGGCTGGAGCCTTCTAGGGACAGACTGTGCTGAAACAAGCAGATGAAAGAACATGTTTCCCTCTGCAAAGAGTTTTTCATCAAACCCTTTCATGTTCATTACTAGCCTTGCCCAGGGCCTTTTATGAAATCTGGTTTCTTGAAACTTCTCCAGCATTCTTGGGCCAAGCTCCAGTAGGTGGTAAAGAGGAACCCAAAGGGTTCTGGACAATGGGAACCGGATTACGTGTTATATCAAAGACTTGAGGAAAGGAGAGGCTCATCGTCTGGGATTTAGTCACGTGCCCTTTCTCACTCCCTCCCTTTGTGTTTCTCAGGATGCCTTTGTAGCTTTTCACAACGATAAGTCTGTGGTGAAAAAGTACTTGAGATCTCTGCTGATTGGGGAGCTGGCACCAGATCAACCCAGCTTTGAGTCCAATAAAAAGGTGAGTGTCCCAGATTCCAGAGCTGGGAACGGCTTGGGGTTCAGCCTGGGAGGAGAAGGAAAATAAGAGAGGGAGCAGGAATCCTGTCTGAAGGAGCACACCTGATGCCGTGCCATGGGCTAGGGAGTGGGGAGGCAGCCGGTGCTAGTCAGGCATGGAAACATGACCACCTCAGGATCACTAAATCCTCCCCTGGGTGCGAGGAATGAGCTCCAGAGCCCCAAATTCTGCTCAGTTCTCCCCACTGTGATGTCTCAGTATCAAAGCAAAAGCAAGACCTGTTGATCTCATGCCTGAGAGTTGCAGAGTCCGTCTGAGAGAATATCTCCTCTGACTCCCATGGCTGCTTTGGGGCTTCTGAGTCTGCTGTGTTACATTTTCAAAGTAAATAGTGCATTCATTTTAACTTTACCCCCAGAAATCCCTCCTGGAGGATTTTCGTGAGCTGCGCTGCACTGTTGAGAAGATGGGACTTCTGAGGCCAAACTACTTCTTCTTCTTCCTGGTTTTCCTTCATGTCCTGGTACTGGATGCTGCATCCTGGCTCGTGATCTGGTACTTTGGCATCTCCTTAGTGCCTTTCCTGGCTGGCATGGCATTCTTCACCGTTGCTCAGGTAAAGTGCTGACAGCTGCTCAGCCCTGCAGACATGTTTGGTTCCTCCAGATGGAGAGGATTCATGGAATGTTCACATCCCAGGCATTGCTCCGCTGCCTCTCCTCAGGTCCTGTTACCTGCCTGAAGACAACAAGCACATTCTACGTCACAATTTTTGTTGCCTCCAGCAAATCTGCTTTTGCCGACAACCCAGGAGTTGGTGGGATGTTGTGGAACTGGTTGTTTCACAAGCTGAGATTTGCTGATCTAATCACAAAAGAGGGAATATTTCATTCTCAGCTGCACTTTTGGCTCCCTGTTCCTTCTGTCTGATGTTTGGTCCTTTATGAGCCACTTTCCCTCACTAACCCTGAATAGTTTTCTGCTGGATTAGTGAATTCAACCATAGAAGGGCAGGATCCACGCAGGGAAGGAGGGAATAGGACTTTGTGGCCCTTAGATGCGATAAATTTAGGGTGAGGGGAAGAAGAAAGATTTTCTTAGTAGAGCTGAAAGTTTAAATTTGCTCAGACATCCATAGAACAAATGCAAATGAACTCATTTACATGATCTGTTCTACTTGCCTATTATCTGTTAAGGTGGATATTCCTCAAAGAGCACTCATATTTCCATGGGAATATGGAATGCAATAAAGCTGTAGACTTGGAAATTCTTCCACTTTCTAGCTGGTTACTTGGAAATTCATTATTTGTGATAGGAGCAAACAGACTTCTATGCTGTAACAGTTAATTGTTGTGATGCTTTGCTGATTTCCCTATATTCCAGCTAAAGTCAATATCTGGAATTGAGCAGCTTTAGTGGACAGTAGCTTGATTGGAAGTTCTCAGCACTGAACATGCAAGACATCAGGGAGTGTTGTTTCCCCAAAGCAGAAGGAAGATGCATCACACTATGAAGTTACGGAGGCAAATTATTATTACAAGGCAAATTATTGCAATGCTGCCAAGATTCTGTTTCTTCATTGACCCTTTGGTCTTCCAGATCCAGATGGGCTGGTTCCAGCATGATCTGGGGCACTGCTCTGTCTTCAGGAAGCCCAGATGGAATCGGGTGCTGCAGATGGTGGTGATAAATGTTCTGAAGGTAGTTGGCTCATGGTGGGAATATTAGCTCTGGGGCTAATGGGGTCAAAGCAATGGATTGGAGTGTCCCTATATCCAGGCAGTATCAACTGGGAGGGAATTGCAGTGCAAGCTGTCAATAACAGGTGGATAAATAGCAATGTGATCCTTGATATCGTTCTGGTTTGAATCCCTGGTGTTGCCTTTTTCCAGGGCTTACCTGCCAGCTGGTGGAACCACCTGCACAACCAGCACCACGCCAAACCCAACTGCTTCCGTAAAGACCCTGACCTCAACATGCACCCCCTCCTCTTCAGCCTGGGAAAGACACTTTCTGTGGAGGTGAGTATGGGGATGTCTGGAAAAGCAGATTTAATGGCAGAAATCTATAGAGGAAGGGATAATAATAATCATCCAGATTGTGCCTTGGAATTAGGTGATCTTTAAGATCCCTTCCAACACAAGCCATTCAGGATTCTCTGATAATTCCCAAAGTGTTCCAAGGTCTAAGAGTCTCATGTACTGCCTGGTTATTATGATGCTGAGGCACCAACTCCTGAGAAGCCAAGTCTTGCAATCGGTGCTTAAGGAAGGGTGAGCACCTTGGAGGCAGCTCAGAGGGTGAGTCAGTGCATTTACATTAATGTTACATGTTATTAGTCAGTTATTAGTGAGTCAGATGTTCCCTCTGGGTCCTTCTGACTGTTTGGCACCTAAATCCTTCAGGACCAGTGTTGCTGCCATGCATCGAACACAAGTGCAGATGATTTCTTAATCCAAAATTGTACGGCTTTCACAAAAAGAAAAACTAGGAATACATCCTCCCTGCACCATTATGATTTCTGATATCATCAAGGTCTCATTTGCCTTTTGTTTTCCTACTAATTCTATTTACTCATGGGGTGATGAAATTACTTCATTGCAAGGTAATCAGCTTCTTAAAATAAAGCCTCTTTCTCTCCTTTAGCTAGTAATAAGCAAAGAAACTACAGCTCTCCAAGGAACATGGAAAATTCCAGCTCTGCTGTCTCAGAAAGGCTTCTCTACTGAGAATTACAAAATACCACACACCATGGCCAGGCAAAATGGATTTCAGGGGCTTTGTTTATCTGCTTCCTTTGTTGTTTCGGTTTTGATCCAGGGAAGACATCTTTGAGGTGTACATATTTCTGTAATTGAAGACAAAGTATTTGACAAAAAAAGAAGGCAGATTTGTTTATAGAACATTCAGTACCTTGATCTTGCAGAAGTTATTTTAGAGACATTATAGGACAGCTTCCAAATTATGCCATATCTGACTACCCTCTCCTCTATTACTCAGAAATTTGGGATACAGAAGTTCAGATGTAGCTTCCACAGCAAACACATCCCGCATTCATAGAATCCTAGAATGGTTTAGGATGGAAGGGACCTTAAAGATCAGCTAGTTCCAATCTCCAAAGTTGGAACCCACCAACTTAGTGACTGAGTTTCCATGCTAACAACCTGTTCCTCTCCAAGCGCCAATAGCCTCAGCACTCCATCGTGAATTAATTAGATTGAATTTCATTCTCCTACAAAATGCAAATTATTTGTAAGCATTTTTTTTGAGCATTTTTGTATAGTCTCTCACTGGCTCATTACAATATCTTTTCATTTTTCAGCTTGGAAAGAAGAAGAAGAAGTTCATGCCTTACAATTACCAGCATAAGTATTTCTTCTGTGAGTATCCGCTAAAGCAGGAGTGCATCTCCTCCCCAAAATAAAGGTGTTTTTAAGATTGAAGTGACACCTTCAGAAAGCTTCCTTCATGTTCAAGAAGGTCCACTTGAGGAGGAATTGCCCCTGTGTCTCTGCAAGGGTTGTATGATGGAAGTACTAGATGAGGGTGAGTCAAGTAGAGGGAAGAAAGGGATGGGAAAGAAACGAAGAAGTGATGAGAAAAAAAGACTAAGAGATTTTGTGAATGCATGAAAGTTGGTGTAAATGGAAGACAGCAATTTTTCTTCCACTGGAAAGAAGAATCATTGTTCTCACAGTAGACTATTCTGTAAGAGCTATGATGCAGTGAAATTATAAGTGCCTCTCTCTTTCCATTCTTTCCTTCAGTGTTGGCCCCACTCGCACTCATCCCCTTCTTCCAGCTGACTATATTCCACTTTACAATCAAGAGGAAAAAGTGGTTGGTAAGCACAGCTTCAGCATCTGGAAAACCCAAATAATGTCACTATATTAATATTTACCTCCGTTTGGGGGGTTTAAGATAGCAAAGGCTGATTCTGGGCTTGCTGCAGCAAGGGAGAACTGTTTAGAAAAGGCTTTTCAATCTTCTAGCAGATAAATAAAAGTTAAGAGAAAACTCAAACGTAGACAGAGTGTGATGACAGGGCTGTTGTCTGCAGTTATTGAGTGCTGTGGGAATATTTTAGGGATACACTCAACTTGCTGTAGAATGGTGGTGTGGAGCTTCCTCTTGATAAATCAATAAGAAATCCATACATCAGAACAGTTTTTAGCTGCAGTTCAAGTAAAGGGGAGAGGATGGAGTGGAGGGATTTCATCAACAAAGGCTGATTTTCATCTTGGTTTGGGTTTTTTTTTTTACAGGACCTGATATTGCTTGTGTCTTTCACCATCCGAGTTTCCCTCATGTATATTCCTTTAATGGGATTTAAGAACTTCATGATATACTATTGGCTGTCCAGGTAACACACAGAACATCTGGAGTCTCCAAGACTAATATATGTAATCAATACTGAAATAAATTAAAATTAGTCCCAGTCACTACAATTTTCTCAGCAATAAATAGTCAAGAAGGAACAGTTTAACTTCAGGGTGGTGGTCGCTGCTACAAGTTGAGTGAACCACTACAAGTTGAGTGGTTCTTACACTCTAAAAGTTAGGAATAGGAAATCCTGAATTACATAAAAGTGCTCTTTTAGTTAAGACTAAGAGACTCGGCAAAGTGTTTTAATGGTAAATTTGGACGACACTGGACATGTAACAGGTGTTTCCCTGTTTATCTGTCCAGGTACTTTGAGAGCACCTGGTTTATTTGGGTGTCACAGATGAACCACATTCCAATGCTTATAGATTATGATCAGAACAAAGACTGGGTGTCTACTCAGGTGAGAAGCTCCTTTCTTCTGGAATACTGGGTCTACACTTCTGAATCATAGGACAAAGACAACATCCTTTCTGTAATAATCAAACCTTTTAAAGCTTTAGTTGGAAAACAGGACATCTAGATTTAAAAAGTCTTGGTTTTTTGACTGAAAGGTGTTGATCTATTTTTTTACAGTACTTTTCCCTTCCTATTACAGAAAAGTATTGATGGTGAAACAGTCGATCTCCCTTTTAGGCCAACTAAAGGAAGCAAAGTGGGATTGGATCCCTTTATTTTTACCCTACAGCTTGCTGGTTTATTGCAGATAAGATAAATCTGACAAAATTTGGTAAAATCTGATAAAAATAAATATGTAAATACAACTTTACTCACATATATAATGCCTCCAGCAACATAATCCCATGTAGTGTGTTCTAAGCATTTTCCCTTTTATTAAGGGAAAAAGACTCAGCCTGGCTAGTCTAGACTTTATTTAATTCCTCAGGGCAATGATGGCTGTAATCCCTGACTTTTCTTTTATGCAAGATGAGGGTGGGCAATGATTGCTGGGGTTCAAACATCAGACTTGCAGGAAAATAAAACCTAAATCATGTGTTTGGGGATCTTTTTCCCTCCCAGCTCCATGCAACCTGCAACGTGGAGCAATCTTTGTTCAATGACTGGTTCACTGGGCACTTGAACTTCCAAATTGAGCACCAGTGAGTATAATTTTGGGAGTAAGAGTGGGAATAATATGGGGCATTTAGAACTGTGGGATCCTAGAATGGTTTGGTTTGGAAGGGACCTTAAAGGATCTGGTGGAATCAGAGGATATTTAAGGTCTCTTCCCATCCAAACTATTCTTTGTTTCCAGGAATAAGCCATCTCAGGAGACATTTTGCTCTCCTTCTGGGGGAGGGCAGGGGAATATTTTGATCAGGGAGGACAGAAAGTGGTGCAAGCCAAGTCTTATAATAACTCTGTCTCATCCCATTCTGCAGCCTGTTCCCCACAATGCCTCGACACAACTACTGGAAAGTAGCTCCTCTAGTGAAAAGCCTTTGTGATAAGCACGGCATTGAATATAAAACCAAGACTTTACTGACAGCCTTTGTAGATATTTTGCAGTAAGTATCCATTAACAAGATAGTTTTACACTCTAATATCATGTAAGGGAAGGATACAGGGAACCGCTGCAAGTCAGCGACCATGATCAAACCTGTAGTTTATTTAGATTTTTCTACAGGCAATTTGAAAGATTTTTTTCCCCTCTTCCTTAAATCCTCTCTACTCATTCCCAGTAGCCAGACTTTGCTATGAGATATCCATGCACTTTAAAATCCATTTTTTTCCAATTATTCCTTTAACTACAATTTGCTTCCCAGAAAACTGAATAGTCTCTTCATAAACGCTTTTTTGAACTTCTGTTCCTGCAGTTCCCTGAAGGATTCTGGGGAGCACTGGCTTGAAGCATATCTGCATGGGTAAAAACTGGCAACTCTCAAAGGGAACCTCTTCACCACCCAACTGCTGCCAGGACTCAGCACAGACCATCCATGTGTGTGTCTTCAGGCATAAAAACTCAGGACCTGGGCAAAGCTAATTTCAGTAAGAATCAAGTGGGAAAGTGGCTTAAAGATACATATCTTTTTTCTTGATCTAAACCATGAACCTCTATTTTTCCTGCTCTCAATCTCAGAATTTAGAGATGGGCTTTTAAACTGGGGAGAATTTGAATCAACTTGATGAGTTGAACTTCATTGGAGGCACCAGCTCATTGCTTATGGAAGAAGTTTAAACTGAAATTCTTTATAATGTCAGAGAATCATGGAACAGTTTGGATTGGAAGGGACCTTAAAGATCATCTTGTTTCACGGGCAGGGACACCTTCCACCAGACCAGATTGCTCCAAGTCCTGTCCAACCTGGCCTTGAACACTTCCAGGGATGGGGCAGTCACAGCTTCTCTGGGCAACCTGTGCCAGGGCCTCACCACCCTCACAGGGAAGGATTTCTCCCTAATATCCAATGCAAACCTGCTCTCTGTCAGTTTAAAACTATTATCCCTTGTCCTGTCACTACAAGTCCTGGTTAAAACTCTCTCCCCTTCTTCCTTACAAGCCTCTTTCAGTATTAAGGTCTCCTTAGTGTTTTTGGGATAGCACAAAGCAAACTGCAGGAAGTCAGGAGATATTAGGGCAGGGGGAATCTTTAAGGGATATTTTTGAATAGATAAAGGTGGAAAGAACAAGATGACCTGGGGTATGTCCCCATTGCTACTGATCACATGTAAACTACTTGTTCTGATTACTTAGGTGTTATAACTAGTTCTGTTCATGGATTGCGTGGGGAGGGAGATAATTAATTGCTGGTTTACACCTGTAGTAGGCAGTTTGAATCCAGTTTGTATAGCATGTATTATTTATAGGCATAAATACATGTATATATGTTAATTGAGTGCTAACTGTGCTGTCTGACTGGCTTTCTGATGTAGACCAGCCTTGAATAAGATTGAGAACAAGCCTAAGCACTGAGGAGCAGGTCCGCATTTCAAGGGTGTTTAAGGCACTCTTGCTTTTATTGAGTTTTATGTGTATTAAATTTTATCTAAATGATTATTTCTTGGTCATTCCAAGGACCTGTGGTTATGGTCAAGGACAGCTTCTGCTGGTGGAAAGTGTCATACACACCTGTGTAGAGGCTCTCCAAGAACACTGCTGAGTTTTGAGAGAGACAATAAAAGAAAGAAGTGGGTCTATGGTTGAATATTTTCATTCAGAGTGCTTTAAATTGTATGGGAAAGCTAAAATGTCAAGGCGGAGAGATGAATAACATAGTAAAAATAGAGGATGTATGAAAGAACAAGTTGATGTGTGGTTATCATTTAACAGCAGGGAAAAAAGCAGGGGGAAAAAAGCTGAGTGGTGATAACCTGGTTGTTTGGAAAAGCTAAAATAGAAAAGCTAAAAATAGGAAAAAAAGAGAAATTGTAAGAAATTATAGCTATAATTATGAATAAAGTTCTTCTTCATGATTTTTGGATTGAAATTAATTCCTGTTTTAGAAAGAGTGTGAGATCTCTGATTAATCTTGCTGATTTTGCAAAGGAATTCTGATTCAATGATATCTCCCAATACCGTGTAGAGCAAAGATATTCCACTAGGAGACAGTTGAGCCACACTGGCAGAACCTGTGTTGCGCTATGTCCACCTAATTGACCAAAACCCGTGAAAGTGAGTCTACAATGGCAAATAAATAGACAATTTGCCCACAAAAACAAAGACCATATGGTTCTTCTCCTCTGCCATTCACACCCAGAGCTTTCAGGGGACAAAACACCCACAAGAGGAAGATGCGGAAGATCTTAAAGTGAGATACCACCCTGAACAACTGAGCAGCAACTCATGTGTTGCAAGCTACAGCACCAACAGCCTCTTCTAGGTAACAAGATCAAGCCCCCACACACAAAGCAGGAGTTTGGGCTTTTTATTTTTGCCTTTGTTGTTTTAAGAACATCTCCATTTCTTCTTTTTATTTATATTTCTTTTTTGTGTAGGTGCAGGTGCTAACAGCACTGTTCTGGTTATTTCATAATAATAGCTGACAGATGCCTTTGAGAATGATCCTGTTTAAAAAAGAAGCTATTAAAAATAATCTGCTTAAAATGTAATTTGGAAACCTCTGCTAACTAATGCCTATACCAATTCTGTATTCTGAAATCCTAGCCTGGTTAGAATGGTGATATCCACAATTATTTGCAACAGTAGAAACATTTTATAAATATTTAAGGGACAATACTGTCTTAACATGACTGCAGGGATTGTATTGCATGCACATGATGATAGTGTTAAACTGATGTCTTGCTGAAGGCAACATAAATATTAAGGATATCTACATTTTTTTTTACCAGTGAGACTTGAAAGCTCTGCTCATTATATCCTGAGTCCCACTGAAACCAGCATAAGACTGATGCAAAATGATTCTTTCTGGTGTGACTCACAAATCTAATGATTTGTTGCATTTAATTGGAATTCTACTTGTTTGAGTGTCATTATTTATTGAGTTTGTCTTTTTGCAGCCTCATTTTAATTAAAATGTTCTTGTCTCCGATTGGCTTAACAGGCTGCTCTGTGCCAATATTCATTTCTTTATCTATTTTATAAAAGTTATTAACAATGGAGCTGGTTTACCTTGGTCAGATATGGCTCACAAACTTCAAGGGGTAGGATAACAGCTGCTGAGAACTGCAATATTTCATGAAAGACAATATATGCCATCTGGAATACCTGGAAGAGACAAGGAAATGAGGGAGATGCTTTGCAGGATCCTATTTGCTGCAGGAGTTTGAGGTGCTGCTAAAGTGATTTTTCTTATCCAGGTGGAGCAAAAGCTCTTCTGTATCTTTGTTCTTGTTCTTCACTCAGGCTCCAGATTTAGGGATGCAGTTGGATAAGGTAGTTTGGGTGGACTATGATGGAAAGAATTTAAATATGGAAAGAATAACTCTCTTTTCTGCTGTTGTCTTGCTCTGTGTGGCAGGATCTCAGCTTAGCACCTTCCCACCAAAGGGTAAAATGATTCCCATGAAAGATTTATCCGCTGATTCCTCTTGCCAACCATCCCTAGAAAAAATTCCTTGAATTCTTCAATGTTATTGCATACTTGTTGTCTGACCTGAAGGAAATTTATATATACAATTAAATTTTTATATCTAAAAATTTATTTTATATATTATATAAAATATAATATACATTTATATATACATATTTATAAAATATAATTTAGAATTTTATATATACATTTTATAAATTTATATATAATATAGGTATAATAATATATATGCACATAATATAAAATATATATTATATTATTTTATTATATATTATATATATGATCATACATATATACACATATCTATTATACATATATATTATTAGACATACATTATATATTGTATGTATATATTATATGTAAATGTATACCCAATATATGTATATTAAATACACATATATCATACATATATAAAATATTATATTATAGTAAATATGTATTAGAAATATAAATGTTAGATATATATTATATATACACATATATATTATACATATGTATTATTAGATGTACATTATATATAATGTGTACATATTATATAAAAATCTATCTATAATAATATATGCATATATATGTTTATAAAATGTATAATATATAACGTTTATCATTATATACATGTATAATAATATATATTATATATATTATATATATATATGCATATAGGTGTAAAATATACATATAATATATGTGTAATATGTACATACATTATATATATAATGTACACCCATAAAGGGACATTCAGCCAGAAATAAAACCATTACTGACAATCCAGGTCAGATATTCCATCTCACCACCTAAACTTTTCTTCAGGTGTTGCCCACAGTAGGTGTGTTCTGCTGTTACTCTAAAGCTCTAAAAACGCTGAGCTGGGCGTCTCTGCATGTACAGAGCTGCCTCTGTCTGAGCAATTTTTATCTTATCACCCACCTAAGGGTGGGGTGTGTTTGGTTTTCCTGCCTGTCATACCCCAAGAGGCCTGGTCCCACTTGGCAGCCAGGCAGGAAAGTGCTTTTCAGAGGACATTTGTGTCTGTTTTCTTTCTAAAATGGAGCTGGAAGAGGTGATCCTCCACTTCTTCCATAAAGGGTGGTTATAGGGTTGTTGTGGCAGTATAATTACCTTGGTTTGACTCTCTGCCAAGGAAAAGTTGTTTAAAACCATAATGCCTACCTCTTCCCCAGAGATGGACTGGTAGCACATTCCCCTCTCCTTGGAATGTGGACAACAGCACAGCAAAGAACTCAAAACTGGCAGAAGCCTCTTATTTATGGCATTTCTTGTCTGGTTCTCAGAATACTTCAAGCAGGAACTTGAGCCCCATTTTAGAGGATTTCTACATCTCAGGTTCAACGGCAACTGACAATCGCAACACAAATTTCCACCTTTGTAATTAAAGAGCAGTGTGATACCTAAGGTGTTATCTTGGGCAGCCTGGGCCCTGAAGTTGTTCTGCTGAGCCTGTCCCTGCTGAAACTCCACCAGGGACTAAAAAGCAACTGAGTCAGTTGTTCAAATGTTTGCGTTTGGTGTCATTTTTGAGGAATTGCTCCCAAGGGACTTGATGGGTCTTAGGTAACAATTCAAAATCATCACAGTGCCATCCAGTCCCTGCTTCTGCTCCCATTACTGCCAATTGGAATTAAACAACGTGCCTTGAATACTAGAGGATAAACAGCTGTGTGCAGAAGTTGAGGATAAACAGAGTGAGAAGCAGAGATTACTGGACAGCCTAGAGAAACTTGTGCAATATGAAGTGGTGACTTTCATGATGCTGCTGTTAGAGCTGTTGGAACCATCTATCGTGGTATGGGATGAGTTCTGTTACACTGGTAGAGTCAGTACAAGTTAAGCTCTGCACATACAAATTGGAGTCTGGAGGAGTTGTGAGGATGTTCCTCATTTGAACCCTTGGTCCCTCAAGGGTGTTTCTATCTTCTCAGAAGACACAAATGCATCTTCCTCATATTCTCTTCTGGTAGAGGATACATAAGGAAAAATGAGAATTAAGTGAAATAATCTTTATTGATTTGCCTGGTCACTAAACTGAATCTAGTGACATAAGATTTGAAAAAATTCCTTCTCCTCTAATGGACCCACATTCCTTCTTGGAAGTGAAAATTAACATTTGAAAAAAACATATACATAATGTGAAAATACATCTTTTGGGGATGGTTTAGGTTCCTAGGGGATCTAGAACTCTCCCTATTCACTGCCCTATCCTTAAATATATTTACCACTCAAGTCATACTTATATTTTATGAGCAGGGTGGTTATTCTTA